TTCCCAGTGCACCAGGCCCGAGCACTTGTCTCATGCATAATGTGGGTCATTTTTTAAATGGTACTTCCCTGAAGTTCAAACGGTAAAGAATCTGTTTGCAATGCAGGAGACCTGGGTTTGATCCCTGGGTCGGGAAGATCCTTCGGAGAAGGGAACGGCAATCTACTCCAGTATTCTTGATTGGAGAATCCCATAGACAGAGAAGACTGGAGGGCTACAGTCCATGGGGTCACTAAGAGTCGGATATGACTAAGCGAGTAACACTATACTTACCTTCCCCCGAGTTTAGTACTTTACTGTAGCTTGAATGGTAAAGAATCGGCCTGAAATGCAGGAGACCATGTTTCGATCCCTGGGTGGGGAAGTTTCTCTGGAGAAGGGAACGGCAATCCACTCCAGTATTCTTGCCTGGAGAAGTCCATGTACAGAGAAGCCTGGTGGGCTGCAGTCCGTAGGGTCCCAACGAGTCGGACACAGCTGACTGACACACACATAACATTTTTTACAGTGTCTATTGGATTTGTTACAATATTACTCCTGTTTTATGTTTTTGTGTTTTGGACCCAAGGCATGTGAGATTTTAGCTCCCCAACCAGGGATCAAACCTGTACCCACTCCTTTGGAAATACAGAATCTTAACTCCTGGGCCACCAGGAAAGTCCGTAAAGATGATGATTTTCACGATAAACATCTTTAGGTCTTTGGGGAGATATACTGAATCTGAAATGACTTAAGGAAATGGACTTGGTGGTTAGAAAGACCAGAGTTCAAATCCAGGCTCTGCTTCAGTTATTCATGTCACTGGAGTTGTGGTTTCCACAATTGCAAAAAAGGAGATCCTTACTATAGCCCCGATCTCACTGGATTTTTAAAAGCTTTCTTGAGAGATCATTCACATGCCATACAATCCTGTCAGTTAAGGGGTAAATTCAATGGTTTTTAGCCTCGTGATTTTTGCAGGATTCAATGATATTGAACACACAAATTTTCAATACTATTAATAATTGTCTGCTCATAATTTTCACCATTTTCTTGGGCTAGGTTCTTAGAACCAGCAATATAGCATAAATGCCTGTAAACCTCTCAAATGTTTTGGAAATAAGCTTTGTGAAGACAGAAAGTGTTCTTATGATAGTTTTTTAATTTGGGGGTTGGGGGTTATTTTTTCGTATTGGATAGAATTTAGGGGCACAGATGCTGGTACAAAATTCTTGGGCTCGTTGATTCAAGAAGTTATCTTTCGTTCTCCCTTGTGTAACCCTGAATCAGACTCATCCCCAAGCCCCCACACACAGAGTAATTAGGGGAAGTCAATTCAGGTTCACGGAATGTCCCTTCCCTGTTGGCCACCCTTGCAAAGCCACTAGCCTGTCCTTCTCCATACCCAAGTGAGTCTTATTCCTTCAGTAAGAGCTGCACTGTACCATCTCCAGCTGCCCATCTTAACTGACACCAAGCATGCTGCACAGCAAACCAGCAGGAAAGAGAGGAGATGGGTCTCTCTACCAAGTCCACTGGGTGCCCAACCTACCTACAAGAAACCACAAATGCATATTCCATTTGGCTATGGGAGGGCTGACTGCAGGTTTCAGGGCTGAGTTAGTGAAGTGTCAGCCAAATCCAAGGGCATGTTGCACCAGACTGTTGTGTGGGTGAGTCTTCAGGCATCCCGCAGGTGTGGGAGCAGGTTACGTGAGATGGGTGTGCGTTAGGCGGTGAGGGTTGAAGGTGCAGAGACGGTGGGTGGGGTCAGAGGTGGGCGAGGGTGGAGGTGAGGAATCGGGCCGCAGCTGGGGTTGGACCTAGTAGTTAGACCTGTAGCTTGGAACCATTTTTGGGTCATAGCTTCCTTTGAGAATTCTATGGATGCTAAGGAATGGATGCACACACACCCAAATGCATGCATACACACACACACACACACACACACAGTTCCACAAATTTGCATACAGCGTCAGGTTTCCGAAAGCCTAGGAACTTCAGCCAAAGACTCGGGATTAAAAACCTCTGTCTAGACTAGTTCATAGGGACTTGTCAGAAAGAAACCCTAGGGCTACACTAAGAATCTGAGATCATTTGTGTCTTCTTCTGTAACAGAGGCTTGCAGGTTTGGGAATTAAATTCCAAAGCCCACTTAATCCATAAATACTTCATTTTCTTCCCGTTTTTATTTTGAAAATTTTCAAAGTACCAAAAAATCACAAGCTCATGCAATCTTCAATCACACTCTTTAATTGTCAACATGTGGTCAACATGTTCCCCTATTCTCTCTCCTCGCCGTATGTATGCGTGTGCACTTAGGAACCTGTGTTTTTTTTTGAGAATCATCTGAGAGTAAATTGCGGAAGTTATGTTACCACATCCCTAAACACTTGGCTTGTAACTCCTAAGATCTGGAGAGTCACCCACCTAAACGCAAGGCAGTCCTCACACTCATAAAATTTAACATGGATACAATACTTCATGTAATTTACATCCTATATTCAAATTTCCCCAGTAGTCCCAGTAAGTACTGACCTTTTAGCTGTATTATTTTCCCTTCCCTTCCTCCCTCCCCTCATCTTTCCTATCTTTTTTTTTTTAATTCAGGATTTAATCCAGGATGATACACTTCATTTAGTTATCTCTCTCAGGCGCCTTTGATCGAGAGCCCACTATTTCGGAGTTTTGTTTTCTTGTTTTCTCTTGTGACAGTGACCTTCTTGAACAGCGCAGGTGCTGTTTTGCAGAATGCTCCCCAGTTTGTATTCAAGTTAAAGTTTTGGGCAAATGTTGTGTCCCTTCTTGGTGCATCATCATATCAGAGGGTCAGCTGGTCCCTTACTGGTGATTTAAGTTTGATTCATGATTAGAGTGATGATCTTCACGTTCCCCTTTGTATTAATGCGTGCTTTGTTTTCAATGAATCCAGCAGGGTAACACTGTACTCAACGAAAACCTGAGCTTTGGCAAATGCTGGGTGAGCCAGTGGTAAGTATCTACTCAGTCTTTGTTCTCAAGCTGTTTTTAAAGCGGACAATGTCCTAGGAAACCAGCTACAAAATACACAGTTTTCTGAAGAATGTGGGTGGATGCTGAGAAGAGCAGTATCAACTCCAACATTTAAAATGAACTGAAACGTGAGACTTGAAGAGGAAAAAGGGAGTCAAGCTTGGAGGCTAGAAAGAACTGAAAGATGGGTATGTGGTGATCTCAAGGAGGGAAAAGTCATAGGAGAAGGTCCTGATCTGATCCTAATAATATTGAGCATGTAGCATGCGCTAGACACTCAGATTATAAGAGTTTTACATGGTTTGTTGTTGTTGAGTCGCTAAGTCATATCTGATTCTTTTGTGACCCCATAGACTGTAGCCCGCCAGGGTCCTCTGTCCATGGGATTTCAAACCCATGTCTCTCACATTGGCAGGAGTATTCTTTACCACTGGGCCACCAGGGAAGCCCCTTTAACATGGTTTAACTTGTCTAATTTTCCCCATAGCCCTATGAAGTAGGCGCCGTGACTGTTTTGATGCTGTAAAATCTACAGCACAGAGAGATTAAGTGGTTGGCCCAAGGTCACAGAGCTTGTAAGTAGCCGGGCTGGGATTCAAACCTGGGATGGATCCGACTCCACAGTCTGTGCTCTTAACTATATCAAAAAAAGAGGAAACAGAGTCTCATCTAGAGAATAGAATATGAAAAAAAGATTAGAATCAGAGCAAACTGGGCTGTGCGAGGAAGTTGTGTTGATAAAAAAAAAAAAAAATGTGGGATTGGAAAGCAAGACAAAAGAAAGGCCCAGAAGATCAAAGAGAGAAGAATGTTCAGGGCTAGAAAGCAACATAATAAAATAGGCCAAGGTTGGTTGGCCACCCCACCCTCAGTCCATGCCCAAGTCTACAGGCAGGACTCTCACAAATCCCCTGCTGCTGCGGCCCCAAACAAAACCAGAGTACTTATATGATCTCAAAGTATCGTTTATTAATTATGGAGGGCAAAATAGGAGCTTTACAGCGAGCAACCTGGCTGACTCCAGCTTACCCAAGTGTCCGATGTGAACTATACAGAGGGGTCTTAAGGGAAAGTTCTGGAAGGAAATTTTGGGGACAGTGTATGAGAAGGGTTTTATGAGGAAGGCGCTGGATGAGAGAAGGGCAAGTCTTGAGGTTCAAGGATCTATGGGTGACAGGTCAGGGTCCATTGGGAGAAAGACGGCGTGTCTCTGGGAAGGAAGGGGAAATCTTATGACGGAGCGGTTCTGAGAGCTAAGAGCAAGTCATTAGGAAGGGACTTGATGGGAAAAGTTTGGGTGACGGAAAGGTCACAACAGGGTCCGTCCGGGAGGTTGGGGTGGGTAAACTCTGGATGACTAGAGGGCAGAGCGTTTGGGGCAGGGGTCTCTAGGGGAGTCCTGAAACGGTATACGAGGCATAAGGCTCTAGGGCCGCAGCCTGCAGGAGGGGTTGACCTCGCGGCGGGCCAGACCCAGGATGGGGAGATTTGGAAGTGGGCCTTGAGGGGCGGGGCAGGGGCGGGGCCGGGCCGCCGGGCGGGTCCCCCCGCGCTGCAGGGGGCGCTGTGAGCCTGGGCGGACCCGGGCCGGGAGGCGGCCGCTCCTAGTGAGCTCGGCCCCTTTTCCGGGTTTCCTCCTCCTCCTCCTCCTTCTTCGCTGCCGCCGCCGTCGCTGCCCCTTTCCCGGCCGGCGGCTGCCGCTGCTGGTGCCGCCGACAGCGCCGCCGCCTCGGAGCCGCAAGCCGAGCGGAGGCCGCCGCGGAGCGCGAGCGCTGCCCGCCCCGCCGCCCCGCCGGCCGCTCCAGGGCCGGGCCGGCTCGGCCGGCGCCCCCCGCGCCCCCCAGCCCGCCCGCCCCCGCGGGCCCGGCCTGGCGCGGCCGCCCGCCGCGGCGCTCCTCCTCCTCCTTCTCCGGCGGCCCGCGGCCCGCCGCCTCCTCTGCCCGTCGCCCCGCGCCCCTCGCCGCGCCGCCACCCTCGGCGCCCCGCGGCGCCCCCCGGTCCCGCCCGCCATGCCCGGCCCGGCCGCGGGCAGCAGGGCCCGGGTCTACGCGGAGGTGAACAGCCTGAGGAGCCGCGAGTACTGGGACTATGAGGCTCACGTCCCGAGCTGGGGGTAAAGCCGCCGCAGCCCCCCGCCGGGCCCTCGCACCCCCACCTCCGCCCGGCCGCCCCCCGCCGCAAACCGCACTCGCCCCCCGCGGTCTGTTTCCCCTCTGGGCCCGTGCCTCTTCGGGTCTGGGGTGGGAAGCACCCTCCCCACCATATTCTTGTCTCCCTCTCCCCGCTTCTCGTCCCTTCCTCTCAGCCGTGCGCACCCCTCTCACCCCGGGGAATGCTCTGTTACTGACAAGTGTAGAAATCCAGGGACCAGAGCCTGGTGGAAGTGAAGGAGCAGCCCTTCCTTCTCACGCGTTGGGGTTTCTGTTGGGGTGGGAAGTCAGCAGCTGTCCTCTTGAGCTATTAAAATTCTCTGCCTTTTTGAGGTTTATGAAATGAGACTGGGTGGGAGGAAATTTTACAAAGACGTCCAGATTCTCAAAGCGGGCGCTGTCTACCTTGCTAGAGTGAAGTAATAAGGCAGGTGCTGTGGGCAGAGGGGCACCTGTGAGCCTCCAGGATGGATGCTCTGCCATGCTCAGACCCCTGCCTTCCCACCTTGTCTCCGCCGAGTTAGGAGGGATCAGTTAGGTTAGGAGCTGCGTCCAGTGAAAGGAGCCAAGTTTATGTTGTGGCTTTCATTTAGGGAATGAGTTATGGCATGAGGTATATAGACACTTGCAAGTGCTTTATCAATGGAAGCGCCTGGATGGGGATGTGTACTGGGCATAGGCTTGGTTAATCCCAAGTCCTGGCATTTATGTGTCCTTCTTGTTCTTTTCCAGTAATCAAGATGATTACCAGCTGGTTCGGAAACTTGGTCGAGGAAAGTATAGTGAAGTATTTGAGGCTATTAACATCACCAACAATGAGAGAGTGGTGGTAAAAATTCTCAAGGTGAGTGTCTTATGAGTGGCATTAAAATTTCTTTTCTCACAGGTCAGAAGGATACAGATACTCCAACTACATTCTAGAATGAGCAGGACAAACTTACTTTACAAACCTTCTGCCCCATGTGCCTCTGCTACTCCTCCCACGCTGTTTTTGTTTGAGCTTTTTTTCACACAGACCTTTTTCAAATCTAAGCATGGTAGTTAAGGAACATCCTTGTTCTGAAATGTAATTATGGCCTCCCAAAGTGAATATTCCAAAGAGCCTTCCATTTGTTACAAACTGAATAGGTATTCACATGCAAGAAGAGCCTCTTCATGAAGAGCCCAGTTTGATCCAAAGGCTCCTTGAGCACTGAATTTGTTATTCCAGAATGAAAGATGGAAACAGAGTAGCTTCAAAGATGAGTTTGAAGCCTGAGTGGAAGGAAACACCTCAGTGAATAATTGCTTGCTTTTTCTCCTTTGGTGATAAAAGTTTCAGATGGGGTACATACAGTGAGCCAGCAGGGCCAGGGAGGTTCATAGTTGTTTATCAGTCTGTGAAAGTAAAGTTGGGAGCAGTAGAGAGTACACTTACAATCACTAAAATAATGATTGGAACAAAACAGCCTGAATCTGGTTTAGCAGTCTTAAGTTTGTAACAGATACACACTTTGTCATCTCTTGGATGGAGGCATGATCCATCCAAGTATGAAGTATGTATGAAGAGTTGGCTAAAGTATGGCCAAAAGTTGGCTAAGTGTGAAGAGTTGGCTAAATTCTCTTCCAGGTAACTGATTGTGTAGCTTTGATAATGTTTTACAGGGTGGACTGAAAAATAGTTCTTAGAATCTGTGAAGGGTATTCATCATTGCCAGATCATTTCACTTGTGTGCATGTCATTTAGTAGAATCTTGAGGTGACCAAAGAGCTAATTAATTAAGCACTTTTACACAAACAAGAGTTCGAGTCTGGCCATTTTGGAGAGGCTCTGTGGATAAGAATGTAGGATCGAAAAGCTGTTTTTGTGATCTTAAGTAGAGTTAGGGCAGCTGTGTCCCTATTTAAAAAGAGGGGCAGGCTTGGATTGTCTGAAAATGGCTTTTCAGAAAAATGAGCGACTCTATTAATCAGTACCAGCTTCGCCTAGCGATGAAGAGACAGGATTATGGTTGAGAGAAATAGGCAAGTTACTTACTTGTGCTGTCAGAAACGCTGGAGGTAAGAAGTGAGGAACTGTTATTGAAAAATGTGGAGTTTTTTACTCTCCTCTTCCCTAAATATGAATTGCACCTACAGAATCATGTCATCTTTTTTGTTATTGTTTTTCTTCATAAGCATAAATATTTAAAAAGATACTTTCTTCAGAGAAGTCACCTGGGAAAGCCATCCAGCTTTTTTTCTTAATATATTAGCATAAATGTTTTTACTATAAGCTGCTTAAAATCTCTCTAGGAAGTAAGCAAGGCATAAATTGAAGTTAGGAATATCCACATTCCATTGCTGTGCATTTGGAAGAATGAACTGCTGACGCTAAAGCAATTTCAGAAAAACGTCTAAACTTTCATGTGATGGCAGCATTTTTAGAGTAAGCGTGCAACTTCCTGTGGTGTCTTTTTTGAAAAGGAACAACATTCAGGTGTACATGGAAGTAACGATACATTCAGTTAGAGAAGCATCACGTTGCTCTTTGGTCATCCTTGTAAAGAACTTCGTAGCCTCAGTTACTACGTGGTTTTTTTCCCTGCTCTGAAGATTCACAGGATATGTTTAGGGAATCCTGTATGGAAGCCGAAGGTTATATTTAACCCACAAGAAATGTAGGCCCAGAGAAACATATCTGACATCACTGTGTTGAAGTAACCCTCAGCCAGGGCTCCTGTTTCTTATTTCTCCCTGTCTCTTACTGTTCATTTTGGCATTGGGTTGTAAGATCTTAACGTTGAGCACAGAGTAAGTTCCACTGTTCTGAAATAAGACTTGGGAGGCCCCTCTGATGTTCAGCTGGCTCAGTGTTGTTTCTTGTATCTTCTACACACAAGTCCTTCTCAGGGTGCAGCCCACAGCACCTTGTTTCTGCCTATGAAAAGTACACTCACTTTTGTTTTTCCAAGCACTGTGACATTTCTATCCAGATTTTCTTCTGTCTGAAGGATCGGGTAAGAAACTACTGATGGTATTGTTGGATTTTCTCTTTCCGACAGGCTGAATTAAAGCAGATTAAAAGTACTGTTTTTTTTTTTTTTTTTTAAAGAATAGGGCCTTTATCCAAAGTTATGTGCCCCTATTCAGATAAGTCAGAGTTATGACTAATACTACTATTGTCATGTTTAGCCACAGGAAATTAGTTCCTTAACAGAATGCCAGTTGCTCATAATTTGAAGGACTCCAGAAAAAGCTTGCTCTTCATCTTGGCCTACTGGATTTCAGCTGCAGGAAGGAACTTCTGTGTTGATGTGCACGTGGTGACTGAGACAGAGTACGTTCCTTGAGGACAGGAACAGCCTACTTCTTGGGTGAATGTTTCTATCCAGTGCTTTCCAACATATGAGAATGGCTGGATGATGAACGACCACAGAGGAATTTCTTATCTCTTCATTTACATTCGTAGATGCCTAAATATTAATAAGAGATTTTAGGAATTTAGCAATTGGTGAGCAGAATGTTTCTGTCTGGCCTGAATTGAGATTCTGAAACCGAAATCTCCAGAGAACACTTCCCAATCAATAGGGAGGTTGTGTCTTTTTTTGACAGGAATTGTTTTGAGGAGCGGGGAGGATGGTAAGGATTAATATAGCAGGGCAGAAAGCCACTTGAATGCCTAAAGTTTCATCTTTTGATTTTGAAAAATCAAATTTTCAGTTCCTTTGTAGTAGCTTTTAGGAGAGAGTACACAGAAATAAAAGCATCTGGCCACTTTGGACAACTTTTAGCACTTTGTGAGCATCACCTCTGTATGTGGATTTCATCTCTTATGATGAAAAAAGTCCTTGGGAGGCTGCAAATTCAACTATTTTCTAAATAGAAGTTAAAAGCAATACCAGATTTTAAAAAACAAAAGTGCAGGTTTTTGGACCCGTGCTGCAAGTACTGGAAATCCTCATCTTAGGCTTCCTGTTGGTATTACTTCATATAGAGTTTGTCCATTCCCTGCGCCCTCCCTCCACCAAAATTAGTTATCAAGCTTCAAACAAAGAGTGGTAGTAATATAAGTTTAACTTTGTACTGTCAGGAGGTAGTGTTAAAGATGATTGATCCCAGATCCTTTTTAGTTACTTCACAGTGAGTCGGTGGCTATGGAGGTTTTATGAAAGTGATGTTTTTTTCTATTTCTGCTTTCTCAGCTGGTAGGTTTTTTGCCCTCCGTTTGCTTTATTAGGCAAGTGTACCAAGACATCCACTACATGAAACAAGATTTAATGCGAATACGTCTCTTGGTATAAAAAGAGGGTTGTTAAAGTATTAAAAAGAATACAAATTTTGAAAATTGTGAACGAGTCGATGCTGTGGTTGTGGGGTGGAGATTGAGAGTGTGGTCAACCTGTGAAACAGAATCACAACAGGGGAGCATAGATATTATTAGAACCCAGACCTGTTTTTACAGATAAAGCAAGACCCAGGAGAACCTGCAATTTGCTTGGGGTCCCATGGCCAGCAGGATAGAAGCATTGGGTTCATGACCTTCCGTCCCTGCTGCAGAGTCTTGGTAGATGGGAGGGGCACGAATGGGACATCAGCTGGATGTTCTGAACTGAACTGGAAAGATGGATGAGCATGCACTATAAGTCAAATGGAATTTCTTTGTTTCTAATGATTTTTGAGGTGTTCTTCTGGAAGGAAATACCTGACGTCCGTGGGTTGCTACTTGACATGTGGGGTAGATGAAAGCCTGAAGCGCTATAGGGACCCAGACTTGGCTTCTCTGGTTTGTATCCACAGCAGCATATTTTACATATAAGTGAAATGTTACTTTCCTTTCTTGTTTGACATAAGGACCAGTGTTTTTATGCTCCTTTTTTTAAACATACAGTACTTCCAGGTCTCATCCTCATCACTTGCTAAGAGGGTGGAGCCAGTAGGAGAAAGGACTGTACCATCCTCTCTGAGATGCAAAAGGCCTACTATGTACCTCACTGTTTTAAATTAAAAAAATTTTAAATCCCAAGGGTAAACAGTTGCCCTCAAGAAATTGATCATGTATTTGGGAAGATGAGAGTTGAAAAATCAGGGGGAAATGTGTTGTGAAGAATAAACATTGCACAAATAATATTGATATTTAGGTCAGTTGCAGTGGATTCTGCCAGGTAATAAAAGCCATCATCCAGACTGAGCATTCTTTCTGCTCTATCCTACAGTCCTGACAACATTGTTCATTGTAATTGTTTATTGCAGGTGATGAAATTAAAATCTTAGTGGGGCAGTTGTTGATTTTGTAGTGAAACAAGTAATCCCAGGTTTGAAAATTCTGAGCTGTGTTCCTGCCTTCCTTCAATGTATCAGTTCAGTTGTGCTTGGAAAGAAATTAAAACAGGACTTTGCCTGTTAATATTTGCTGGGATTTATTGAGGTCATAATTCTTAATGCCTTTTAGTAGACATTAGCTTGCAAATTCAGTCACAATTAAATTCTAGTAGTTGAAATCATTCTCAGATCCAGCTTTTTAAAGATCAGCTCTGAGTAAATAAATAGGACAGATAACTGACTATCAACTTTCGTCTTTCTGAGCAGCCATCACTAAATTGGTCTTTGTTTTAAAATGTTTAATGTTGCTGAATAGGGAAAGAGAGGCAGGACCACATTGAACAAGATTTGGATCACGTTGAACTAAGACTGCTGACTACCTGGGACTCTTCACCTGAGGGCAGAAACCTCCTGAAAAAAATCTTTTTTTTTTCCTTTCTTTTCAGAGCTCTTACACAGAAAATTTTAAAGGAGTTTTTCCCCTTTAAATACTCTCTGTAGGTGTGTGCCGAAATTCATTTATTGTTAAAACTTGATTTAATACTTTAATTTCTTTTGTTTAGCTTTTTTATCTACTAGAGTTTAAGTTTTTTTGTTTTGTTAACAGCTAAACTGATTCAGTTAGAGCCAGATATTCTCTGAATTGGGATAAATGAACTTTAGGTGAGAGAAGGGCTTTTAATTTAGCATGCAGATGAAATGTGAAATTGTGGAAATGTGTTTTCCACTTCAGTGGTGGCGAGTGAGTGTGGACAGTGGGCTGGAGGATCAGAGCAGCCTTACTTCTGTAAAAATTCATGGTCTGTCTTCCTTCAGATGCCAAGGATCCTCCCTTATAAATCCTAACTTTTTCTCTTGAATTCTGTTTATAAAATGTAAATCATCGCTGTCATAAGTATCTGGGCGTTCATTGGTTTTTCGGCTTCTGGAGGTCTCTCAGGTTCAGAGGAGTAAGCTTGAGGCTAGAGAGAGTTACCTGAAGCCTGATTCATGTAGAGACTTGGTGCCTCTTCTTTGGAGGGTAGTATCCTGAGCTGTTCGTCACTTTTCTTAGTCTTTTGGTCTTCTCAGTATGTGAGGACTCCAGCTGCAGTGTGACTCCATTTTGCCACTTCAGATTTGTCCTGCTGTCCCCAGTCTGATAGGTGACAATTGGGCAGTCAAATGTGCTTCACTTGTTCTGTGAGTTACCTTTAGACATAGTGAAAGATATGTTCATCTGAACTGGATTATCCAGGAACTGGGTGTCTGCCTGATCTGTTGCTGAATAACAGAACAAGGCGAGGCTCTATATGGAACATTGTCATTGGAGCAGCTTATTTAATGTACTTGTACTTGTTCACTTTTAGAGGGAGAGGGGGGTTCTGATGAACACAGGCTTCTGGCCATCGTTTTTTTCCTCCCTCTGTTGCCACTTTCACAGATTTGTAACTGCTTTCCAGGAGTGGATGACAACTCTAGAATTTGTTGGGGCTTCCCTGGTAATTCAGCGGTTAGGATGCTGAACTTCCATTGTGGCAGGGCACAGGTTTGATCCCTGGTCAGGAAACTTAAGATCTCACATGCCTTGCAGTGTGGCAAAAAAAAAAAATAATAGAATTTTCTTACATTGAATATACTGGTTGCATTTGATTTTTCTTTTAACTTTGTGACAAAATTTCAGACTACTGAAAAATTGCAAAAATTCCCATGTATCTTTCATAAATATCCTTTTCTCTCTTTTATTTATATATATACACACGTGTTATACATACAGATATGTATGTGTATGCTGATATATAACTATTACTTGTCTTAAGTGCTTGAAAGTATGTTGTTTATCCCTAATTTCCTATATTTCCTAAAAACAAAAGCAGTTTCTTACATAACAATGCCATGATCAAAAATAAAAAATTAATATTGATGCAGTGCAGTTAGTTAATCTACAGCCTATGTTCTTATTTGCCAATTGTCCTTATAATGTTCTTTATAGCAGAGGAAAATCCCAGATCATGCGTTACATTCAGTTGTCATATTTTTTTAATTTGGAGTAGTTGTTTAGTCTTGTGTGTTTCATGACAAACATTTTTAAAGCTTGTAGACTACTTATTTTGTAGTATATCCTTTGGCTGTTTTCTGATCAAGTTTGTACTTGATGTTTGAGTGCTTCACTTTTCCAAAGTATTGAGTTCTGTAATTATGAAAAAGGGAAATAGTAAAATTCCTAAGTGGACATGGAGAAAGAACCACAGTAGCCAGATCTGTTCTACTGAGAATCCTGACAAAATGGAATGGGCACGATTGTGGCAGCTGGCTTAGAAGAATGCAGCCAGACTCCAATCTCTCAGTTGAGCACCCTCTTACAGGTGATGCAGGTATTCTGTGTTTTATAATCTCTCTCTGTTTTGTGTTCAAAGCTGTGGCTTGGTGGCCAACAAGAGATGATGGTTTCTCTGACTTGTGTATATATTACGTTTCCTCCCATCCCACTGCCACCACTACCACATAGACACAGTCTTTTTCCATCGTGGCTAATCCATTGGGCCTTTGTCTTTGCCTGTGCTATTGTAACAGTGTCTTGGTGAGGCAGTACTCCTTTTCCTAAGTTAGGATTCTCCCATGGCCACACTTGGGAAATGAAAGCACAGTGGCTAAGGGTGAGGCCTGCAGAGTCAAACTGACTAGATTTGAATCCTGCCTCTGCTCTTTACTGTTAGCTGTGTGATCTTGGGCAAATAGCTCAACTTGGCTGAGTCTACTACATAGGAATTTTGTGAGAATGAAATATGAAAATAATGGACCTAGCATTTATCAACTGCTTCCTATATACTAGTCGCTGTTTAAGTACTTTATAAAGCATAATTGTGGTGATAATCCTTATTTTTTCTAGAGCTACTTTTATTCTTCTTCAGACTCTAGCCCATTTGTGACAAGAAATAACATGCATAATGCTGACATTTTTGATTAAGGTTTCCGCTTTGCCTGTCCAACAGATTGAAAGGTTAGTGGGTAGCAGGGGTTTTCAGTCACTGCTCTGTCAGAGATTGGTCTTTTCCTTTGCTGATCTATCATCTCTTCCTTTAGGAATGGGGTCTGTTGGGAAGTTTTACAGGCTCTGAGCTGATTTCAGAGTCTAGATATTAAGGAAGTGGGAGTGGTGACAGGAAACGGGAGCCAGCAGCTGGGAAACAAGTTTGTAACTTGATGTCAGTGAACTGGTCTTCACTCCTAGAAGACAAAATTACATGCGACCCGTTGGAAGAGCAGGTGTCTTACCAGTTTGTTTCAGTTTTTCCATTTATGAGTGCATGATAGACAGCTGTTGAGAACTAGAATGTTTTCCATTGGGCAGTTAACTAGTAAACATTTTATTTTTAAATTATGACATAGGCATTCAAAATTTCATGTGTCCTAAATGTAACTACTTAAAAGATTTGATATGTAAGCTGTATGAGTCTGTGAATTATTTCAAGTAATCTTAAAAATTCTTATGTGCAGGCCCCTCTTAAACCTCATTTTCTTCCCCCATCTCTTCTAATTTAGACATGCCCTTGTGCAAAATAGTGCAATAGCCATTTGATAGAAACATTGTTTTAAAGTTTTATTTATTAACTTCAAAAGGAGTCTTACTTCTGATTGCTCTTGTGTATTTAAGCCAGTGAAGAAAAAGAAGATAAAACGAGAGGTTAAGATTCTGGAGAACCTTCGTGGTGGAACAAATATCATTAAGCTGATTGACACTGTGAAGGACCCTGTGGTAGGTGCCTAGTTGTTGAAGAGGAGAGAGAGAGAGTGTGTGTGTGAGAGAGAACACCTGAAAATAATGGGAAACATCATTATCATATGCTGGGAATGATTGTGTTTGTCTTTACTACTAAACGATTTTGAAAACCAGGAAAAATCATGGTGGCCCAATGATAAACTAGCCACTACCACTTTTATAGAACCTTAAACCATTTGTAGAAAAAAATCCCTTTCCCAGTTTTATAGCCTCATTATTTTGATCCAGTCCACGAACGTTTGCTTCAAAGCTCCCTTATGCTCCAGCTTTTCTCCCAACTTTGAAAGCTTATTAACTGCCAATTAACATTATTTTACCTCACTTAAGTAAGCCTTACATTTGAAAATCTGGGTTTACAGAAGGAGATAGGAAGTGTCCATGTGGACACTTACCGTGGAGAACTGAACAGATCACAGACCCCTTGAGGTCACTATCTTGCTGTTTCTCATACTGGTCTTTAATTCGGCATCCACCATTAGGACTCACATGGTATATGCAGATGCAGTTTAAATATTTTTGTTAAAATGCTTAATTTTTAGCCATTTAAAATATGCTGTTTAATTTTGTTTTCTCTTCTCCTCGGAAATAACCTAACCTTAAGTGTTTATGATTAAGCAAGCTTCCCATTCAATTTCTGTTCTTTTACCTCTTCTACCTCAGATATTTCTCTGTTTTCCCATGACACCTTTTTAAGAACATCTTTGCTTCTGTCTGCTAAAGACATTGTCACAATAATGTAGCTAGCACACGTTGAACACTTACTGTGTGCCAGGCATTATTCTGAGTGTTTAACGGAATTATGTCATTTATTCTCTACAACAGTCCAGTTGGGTGGGTACCATTATTGTCCCTGTTGTCACAGTGTACAGATAAGAAAACTGAAGCCTGCAGAGGTTAAGTAAGTGTCCCAAGATTACAGTTTTTCCTTTGGATCCTAAAAAGATTGAGAAGGATGGTTATATGCTAGATTATATCTAACTGGCATTAAAAATATATCCCAGCCTGGGCTTCTCAGGTGACGCAGTGATAAAGAATCCTCCTGCCAATGCAGGAGACGCAGGAGATGCGGGTTCAATCCCTGGGTCGGAAAGATGCCCTGTAGAAGGAAATGGCAACCTGCTCCGTTACTGTATTCTTCCTGAAAAATTCCATGGGCTACAATCCATGGGGTTGCAAAAGAGTCAGACACTGCTGAGCACACGCATGCGCACACACACAAGTTTCAGAAGTAGGAATAATGACTATTAAGTGGATGAATATTAAAAGTTTACTATGTTAAAAAAAAATGTATCCCAGCCTTATCAGTTCAGATTGATTTTACAGTGAGTAACTCTGGACCGCATGATCCTTGGAAATGGCCTGCATTGTGAGCCAGTATGTAGTTTTATACCTAGTGTATCTCTGTTTTGCTTTATATATATACACATCTATGTGTGTGTGCATGTGTTAACAAAACTTAGCGGTTCCTATCATTATTTTTGTAATGTTACTTAAAGCATGCGTGTTTCTTTTTTTTTTTTCGTACTGAACTGTTTCACAATCTCTACTTTTATTGCCTAATTAGATTTTATTTCCATCTGGACAGCTTACTTTTTATTGGTGCGTGATGATATGATTTGTTTTTTGTTTTTCCTTCTGAACCCTGGATGAAAAGAAAACTCAGTTCTGGGAGGGACTGTCAGATAAGGGTACAGAATATGGTGAAATAGTGCTCGGTATCCTCAAAAAAATTAGCAAAATCAATCCTAGAGGATCCCTTATTTGCCCTCTTGCTAGTTAATAGACTGCTGGGGAAAGGGAGGAATAGATTCAAGGGCAAAGAAGGGTCCAGATGGGATGAGGAAAGCACGGACAAGCGTGTCTACCCCACTCTCTCCTGCTCTCACACCTATCCTCTAAATAAAGTAGTAGTAGACTTTACTGCTAAGTCACTTCAGTCATGTCCGACTCTGTGCGACCCCATCCCTGGGATTCTCCAGGCAAGAACACTGGAGTGGGTTGCCATTTCCTTCTCCAGTGCATAAAAGTGAAAAGTGAAAGTGAAGTCGCTCAGTTGTGTCTGACTCTTCGGGACCCCATGGGCTGCAGCCTACCAGGCACCTCCGTCCATGGGATTTTCCAGGCAAGAGTACTGGAGTGGGGTGCCATTGCCTTCTCCTGCGTGTTTCACATGATACATAATACAAGTAAAATGAAGGAAAACCAACAGGGAAGCCTCACCCCCTAACTTGTAGGGGGACAGGCTTGCTCCTAGCCTGTAGAGAGACCTGGTGGTCTTGTTGAACCCTTTCAGCGCTGGGCTAGTGAGGAATGCTTGGTTTGCTCCTTGTTCTGGTGAAGACACGCATGCGTGCACTGCGGCCTGTTTGCTACGTAACTTTTACCTGCTTCTTTGAGCAGAACTGCACAGCCATAAAGATTTCCAGGATTTTATTTCTTCCTATAGCCCTTTAAGCCCCTGCTTTTCTCTCAATTTTTAAAGCATATTTCTACCAATTAGCATTTATTTTTTATTTTTTTTTATTTTTTTCATTTATTTCAATTAGCATTATTTTACCTTACTTAAGTAAACCTGACTTTTGAACATCAAATGTTGACCATTTTGGCCTCATTACATTAAAATTTATAGTGCTTTAAAAATACTTGATTTTATATGGTTTTGGAGGGGCACAAATCTTTGTTTTGTTTTTTTTTTTTGGGGGGGGGATGTCTCTCCATCTATTAAGGTCTTCTTTAATTTCTTTCAACAATGCTTTGCATTTCCTAGAATACAATTTTTATGCTTCTTTTGTTAAATTTGTTCCAAAGTATTTTTATTATTTTCAGGCTGTTGTGAATGGAGTTATTTTTTTTTATTTCATTCTCGTCTATAGAAATACAATTGATTTTTGTATATTGATTTTCTATCCTGTAACCTCGTGAAACTTGTTATTAGTTCTAATTGTTTTTCAGTTGGTTCCTTATGATTTTCTATGTAATGACATTTGCAAATAGAGATGGTTTTATTTCTTTGTTAAAAAGGAAACAATCAATGCAAAATGGAGTGACTTGTGCTAAGCTCCACTGATATTTAATATCTAACCTAATTGTACTTGCAGGCTATCCTAGGAATTGAATTTTAAGCCAACTAGTCTGTGAGGTTTTTTTTTTCCTGGTCAGCACTAGTGCGGTAATCTGCCTAAGACATCCTCCCTTGCCTTCCCCTGAAGGGAAGGTGACCTTCCCAGAAATAATACACTGTTTAAATTGTGGTTTAGTCACTAAGTCGTGTCTGACTTTGGGACCCCATGGACTGTAGCCCAGTCTCCTCTGTCCATGGAATTTCCCAGGCAAGAATGCTGGAGTGGGTTGCCATTTCCTTCTCCAACATCTTTGAAAAGAGACATTCTCTAATTATCCCTAGCCACGGCATAATTTCACATTATACCTTAGTGACAATCATAGACTTGGGAGTTTTTTTTTTTTTGATTGTGGAAAGACCAGTGGTAAATTCCCTAGACCCATGATAGTTTTGTAAAATTCGTCTGGTTCATTAAACCAAGGTGAAAACTTACTACTCTCTTTGTAGTTGGCAGGCTGGAACACTGCAGAGTATATACATCTTCATATAATGTGCCGGGCCCACTGACAGGTTGGTCAGAGAATAGACTCCTGAAAAAAAAAAACAAAACCTTTATAATGGAAACTGAAACCATTTACAAAAGTAAAATGAATAGTATAATGAACCTCTTTGCACACATCACCCAACTTTAGCTCAAGTTAATCGGCTTAAGGTACTTTGTTTCATCTGGACCCCACCTACTTCCCGACCACCCACCATGCCCAATTGTTTTGAGGCAAGTTTCAGACAGAACATTTCAAGGGGATTCTTTCTTAATATGCTCTCCCTAATGAGTGAATCTCTCATCTAAGTGGGATTTGGGGATGGGCCAGTGTGACAGAAGCAAATTAAATTTATTGTTTGAATACTTACAAAGCATTAATATTCTCTCTTGCAGTCAAAGACACCAGCTTTGGTATTTGAATATATCAATAATACAGATTTTAAGGTGCGTATATGCTGTTTCTTTCTGGCATGGGGTTAATGGGGAATGGGGAGGTGGTGATAATTACTGTTGATACTCTGGAGCACAAGGGGACCAGGAAAGGTCATTGCTGAGAGCAGGAGATAACATTGGATGGATTTCTTATAGCATTAGTACAGGATGCAGAAAGTGGTTAGATTCTTGCAGTTGGTGAAATTAAGCATTACTCTTTGCCTTGCTTACTCTGGGAATAACTACTCGGCTGGGTCTAAGTTAATGCCTCATCTATAATGCTCATGTTGTAGACATGATGGGTGGATATTAATTTTAATTTTCATAGGAATCTTACATTCCTAATAGGAAGTGATAAATGGATACAGAACTTGTGTGAAAAGAGTCAGTATTGTACCTTGGATTCAAGCTATCAAATGGTGTGTGTGTTCATGCACACTGTATACAAAGTAAATGATAGAATCACTGTGCTTTAGAAAAGACCTATTTTGGGGGCTTTCTTTTGTTTATAGTGCATGTTTAGACTTTAAAGTGTTCTAAAAGCATGGTTTTAAGCTGATTTTTCATGAATTTGTGTTTATTGTTCAAACACTGCAACCTTCTGATAAGAGATCAGACATACTGAGCATGGTAGAGCACAATATGAAAACCAATATAAAAACAAATAGTATTGTTTATTTTTAGGGGCTTTTAGGTGATTATAATTCTTCATCAGTGTAGAAAAGGCTTGTGATTTTGTTGTGGTGGAAGTTAGGAAAAAACCCAGTCAGCAATTGAAAGATGCTGTGCTAATGGGGAGTGATCCTTTTGGGTGAAAAGAAAAGAATTTTATCCTCACAGTTACTTTTTCTTAAGTAATCACTCTAAAATAAAGTCAATTAGTGAAAATATGCACAAATGGGTATTATACCTTATAAAACAGTAAGCAGGTTTTATATTCAGTACAATCATCCCTTGGTAATGTCAGGCGAGTGTGTACTCCTCGGTTTGTCTCATCACAACAAAAATTTGGAGTGACGGACATTAAAGCCCCCTTGGCGGGTCACAGCTCTCGGAGGACAGACCGTGTTATAGCTCTTAAGTAAATCAGTGTTACACCTCAGTGTTACAGCTCTATTTTATTTAGATAATAGCAGGAAAATCCATCTTCGAGGCATGAGGGCACGTCGATCCAAAAGACAAGACGAGAAGAGCACCCCATTGCAGGGGCGGGGGGGGGGGAGGAGAAAACCCTTTGGCTCCTCTTTTTGTATGTTTTTTTCTCCCCCCTGGGCCTGTCCTATGCAAATTGGGCTTAGGCAGGAGCGCTGTTCTACCTGAAGTCCTCTCTCTGGTCCTCGGACCTTCCTCTGCTCTATTTTCTTGGCTTTTCCCTTCCTTGTCTTTTAGCCACCACCATTTTGGACTCCTTTTCCCTATTCTAACTACCTAACAGTATCCATGGGAGATTGGTGATTGGTTCTAGCCCCCCTCCCCAGAATACCAAAACCCCAGGCTTATATAAAAATGGCATTTATATTAAAATGACACAGTATTTGCCTGTAACATCTGCACGTCATTTAAAGATGACACTCTAAATCATCTCTAGATGACTTGTTACGCCTAATACAGAGTAAATGCTGTGTAGGTAGTTGGTAGAGCACAGCAGGTTCAGCTTTGTGGAATTTTTGTTTTTTCAATCCATGGTTGATTGAATGCTCGAATACAGAGGGACAGTTGTATAGCTTTTCCATATCAACAAGTTTCCTTGTGATGTAACTCCTTAAAGGTGAACTCTGAACAGTGGGATATATATTTCTTCATTAACTGGCAGAGCAGTGCTTAACTGGTAGAGTACTGTGCTGATGAATGTAACTGATCACACTTTTGATATGAACAACTGAGGTTTATTAAGAATGTCCATGATTGGGAATGTGTGTGTGTTTCTGAAGAAACAGGCTTTAATGAAACCAAGCACTTTTGTAATGCAAAAGCTTAAAAGCTTGTCTTAATGTAACTTCATAGTGAAATAACTTAGGTTTCAGTGTCTCTGCTTCCTTGATGAATTTTTACCAGTTATATAGCCACAAATTTAAAAATTTTACTTCACCATTTTTGTGTTTCTCAAGTTGACAGCTGCTCTGTTGATTTAATGACATACAGAACATCAGTTTTGAATTCCTAGAGAAATCTGACTTCATACAAAGGAGATGTTTTGATGGCATATATTCTCTAGGAGCTTCCTTTAAAAGGATCATGGGAAATTGATGTTTTTTGAGGCTTGCATATCTGAAAATATCTTAATGTTATCCTCCCAATTAATATATTTGCCATGATAGAGAATTCTAGGTTGTAGTTAAGAATTGCCTCAGAATTTTGAAGGGATTGTTCCACTATTAGCCACTGAAGCCACTGGTTGTGATCTGCCTTTTTTTTCCCTTCCTCATGAAAGCTTTTAGTATTTTCTCTTTATTCTCAGTCTCTGAAATTTCACAGTGATGTGCTTTCATATGGATTGCTTTCATCCTTTGTTCTGGGGACTTACTGGGCTTTTAAGTCTAGAAACTCATGTCCTTCCATCTTGGAAAAATATTTTTAATGTTCTTTTCTTCCTTATCTTCTTTGTTCTCACTTTCTAGAACTCATTCAAATGTTAGACTTCTTATCTTGGAACTCTATTTTCTTCTCTGAATTTTTAAAAATAGTATTATGTTCTTTTATGTTTTATGTAATATCTTCTATTTTTCTCACTGAGAATATGTTTTTCCCCCCCCATTATGTTTTCTTCATTGTGTCTTTTTCTGTTTTTCTTCCAAATTCCTTTTTTGGGGGTGTTTTTGGTTTTTGTCTCTGTTACAGTTGTCTGAAATGTCACAGGTTTTGAATGCCTGTGCCTACTGTAGTGTTAATGAACTTTCTGACTACTGATTGTCAGCTCTTGTCTCGAGGATGCAAGCCTGGCTGCCAGCATCTCAGTTGAGGAGAGCTATAGGAAGTACCTTATGGACTTCAGACTTCGTTTCGCCTTTGCAATGTGGTGTGGAAACATTTTCCCACTTGCAGTTCAGTCTCTTTGGCCTTTTTCAGTGATACCTGGAGTCACCAATTCCTTTCTGTCGTTTTTTCAGTGTGAAATGTTTGCTACTTACTGGGCCCCGTCTGCTGGCAGAATGTTGGCAGAATTCTCAGCTTTTTTGGTCTGCTCAGTCAACTGGACATCTGTTTTACAGCTTCAAAATTGGTTGTCTCTTCCATTCTGTTAGTACTGTGGGTGAATTCACCCACCCACCCCCCCCCCCCCGCTTCTTTTACATATATTTTTGAGGAACTTTGGGAAGAAGCAGAGGTAGGGATAGGTTGGTTCTACCAAATTATTAAACTGGAGGTCCTTTTTGAATGTTCAAGCTATGCCATCGTAGTCAACTTAAAAGATCTTAAATATCAGGTAGCATATGTCTGTTTTGGAAGAGCAGACTGTAACAGGAAAATCACTTTCTTTTCTGGATAGTATAATTGGCCATAAGTGGGGAAATTGGTTGATTTTAATGTCTGTGTTCTTCAGACTTTTTGTTTTGTTCTGTGTCCATCTTATTAGGAACGGTTGTTTTTATTTATTTTAGAGTCTTTCTGATTTTGCTATCAAGGTTATACCAATTTCACAAGTTAGATGACTTTTCCTTTCTGTTCTCTGAAAATTTACATGAAATGGGAATGATCTAGGTGGTAGGTGTCTTCTGAGGTGGGGAGAAGAGACTTTGGACTACTTTCCTTTTTAAAATATACTCTTGGTTAAAGTTTTATTCCAGTTTTATGTATCTTCTTAGATCTATTTAGATAATTATTTCTAAAGCTGTCTAAATTACATTCACATAAAGTTACTGATAGCATTCTCTTAGAACTTGAAATTTTAATGTGCCTGTAATTATGCCTTCCTTTACATTTGTAAGATTATTTGTAACTTTGGTTTCTTTTTTCTCTTTTTTAAACAACTTCAGATTGCTAGAGATCTCTTATTAATGCTTTCAAAGAATCAGCTTTTGGTTTGTTCAGATAGTTTTTGTTGGGTTGTTTATTTCATTCTGTTTCAACTCCTGTATGAATTCTTTTCTTCCTTCTTTCTTATTTTCTTTTTTGGGTTTTCACTGTTTTTCCTGTTACCTTCTTGAGTTGAAGTCAGCTCGTTGGATTTGTTTCTGTCTCCCTTGGTTGGTAGTAAGTGTGCTGTCTGTACAGCCCCAAGCACCATTTTAGCCACATTCAGCAGTTACGTGACTCATGCATATATATTTTTCAGACTGCAAGTACAAATTCCAAACTTGTGGATTTGGAATTTTTCCCTCAAACCTTTTTCATTTTGAAAATTTAAAAATCTACTAAAAATTGGGAACAGTAGCAGGTTAATACCCTTACATTACCCAGGTTACCAGTTGTTCCTGCTTTGCCACACTTGTAGTTCTTTCTCCCCCTCCTCCACCCTCCCCTCTTTATCTTTTTGTTGAAATTATCTTGGAGTACAGTTGTAGACGTCATGATACTGCACTCTCAGATATGCCAACCCTGGAACTAGGTAGGCCATTTTCCTACATAACCACAATACTGTTAGTACTCTTAAGAATTTCATATAATAATGCCATCTAATATACAGTATAGAGTTTATATTCAAAAGTTTCCCAGTATTATTGTCCTGGAAATGTCCATTCAGGATCCACTTGGCTTTTTTGTTTTGTTTTTTAAATGATTCTTGGGACTTCCCTGGTGGTTCAGTGGTTCAGACTTGGAGCTTCCACTGCAGGGGGGCACAGGTTGGATACCTGGTTGGGAAACTAAGATCCCACATGCCTGCATGGCATGACACACACACACACACACACACACACCCCCCGCCAACCCCCAAAAAGATTCTTTTGTCCTTATTGATTGCATTGTGTCCAGAAAACATGATCTCTATAATTTTGATATTTGGGATTTGTTTATGGTTACTTTGTGGCTTTGGTACATGGTCGTTTTTTATATCAAGCCTGTTAATTTAGATCTTATTCAGATTTTCTACGGCCTTGCTGATATTTTTCCCTTGATATTTTATTTTGTAGTAATGGTACTGGTTTGGTCAGTTTCTCCTTAAAATCATTAGTTTTGATTCATATATGTCAAAATTATGAAAAAGATACATGGTGATATTTAGAATAAAAGGCAAAACTTGAAAACAAGTGAATAGGAAAAGTCAGTTTCTCAAAGTTGGAATGAGTAGTTATAGAAAACTCCCAAACTCAAAATTGTCTCAAGGAAGCTAAGGTACTGTTTTAAGGTAGAAAGAGTTTTTGTTGAGACAATGGGTCTCAGTTTTCCATGACTTTGGAAAAATGTAAATAAAAGTGAATATGCATTTTAAGTAAAATATACATCATTTGGGCATTTAGAAAATTTATAAGACATCCCAAATGGATTCCATCTTGAGAAGATGGTAGACCCATATTAATCCATGGAAAATGTCATATCACTCACATAAAATTAGGCCTTGACTACCTGATTATCTTGAGGCCTTGTTAATGCTGTTAAGGTTTGAGGTGGAGATGGTGCATTCACAGACTAAAAGTTTCCTTAATTGGGGGAACAAAATTTGCTTTTATTATAGATGACTGACATTTTGTTATTTCTCTGTAACGCATTTTCAGGTAATTTGTGGTAACTTTGATGTGCTTGATTAATGATTTGTTCTGCTTCCTTAAATTTCTAAAAATGTTGCCCTTGGTTTCATTCTGGATTTTGGGATTGTGTGTGACCAGTGCCTGCGGCATTCGTCACCTTTCACTTTCACACTCTTCTCACTTTTTCTTCTCCCTTCATGGGGACCACTGGTTTCTGGACGTAGACCAGGCTGTGTGTGGCAGGGAATGTGCAGACTGTGTGTGTAAGGTGAGAGTTTGCTGTGTTGGTGATTCCCATGTCTGGTTGCAGACCTTCTTGAAGTGAGAATTCCTCTTGAATGACGGTTGTCTGGAATGGAGGCTTGGAATCTGAAGCTGCACTGTGACCAGATCTCAACAACTGGCTGTGTGTAGACAGCATGAGTGAGGCCCCCTTGTGGCCATTCCTTTCTGGGTGTTGGTTTTACACCAAGAGGGTGCTGTGATTCTCAAGCAGATTTCATTTTTCCCATTCTTCTTCTCGGACTTTCTGAGGTTAATTAAAAGTTCCAGGAAATTTCTGCCTTGGGCCCTTTGAATAGTCCTGGTGTGTAACTGACTTCTAGGTCAATGCCAGTGTGTTTGAGGCTTTGGAAGCAAACTAGGATTGGTGAATAGTTTCTTTCTCAGCACCTTCGTAGACTTCCGGGAAGCGTAGGGTGGTTTTGTTTTTCAAGGTCCCTTACTTTATGAAAATGTAAGTAAAACTAACTTCCTGTCAGTATTTGACAGTTGGTTAGTTAATCTCCATGTTAGCTAAGAAGAATGGAGGAGAAGTGTGGTTCTTGTGAAATTTCCCTTCCTAATTTGTCATGAAGCCTTAGTACTTGTGTTTCTTGAAGACGGTTTTAATTTTGTTCCATTGACTAGTGAGCATCAAAGACATATTTATTGACTGCCTTCTATGTGCAAGCACAGAAATGCCACACGTGGTGTGAGGTATATAAAACATGTCATTCTGCCATGCAGGGACTTAGAATATAGACTGAGTTGTACCTGGTTATCAAGCTTGTACCTTGACATGCTTGGCTGGGGGAGGGAAAGTTCAGAGGTCTTGAGTCACCAGATCAGTGACTGCCAGCAGCCAAGGCACCCATTCAACCCCATCACGCATATGCTGTGTGCTATGCAGAGGTGGCAGCATAGGACTCAGCGTGTGGGCAAAGTGAAGAAGCCTCTGATTGTTCACAGCAAAGTGAGAAAGCATCATGAGAATTCAGGTCACTGCCCGTACCCAAGTGCGGAATGTTAACTGGGGACACTGCTGCTGTCAGTGTCCTGTGAGCACCCCAGAGATCAGTGACCTGCCTGGGGATTCAGAGAAGGAGGAGACCACTGTGGGCTCTGAGGAGCCCGGGTGGGATGGTTATGACTTCGCCAGTTAAGGTAGCAGGGCAGGCATTCTAGATTTGCCAGAGGGGAGAACAGAGGTGAAAAACACAGGTTTGTTTGATCAGAGTGGGGAACTCCTCAGGGCTTCGGTGGAGAAAGAGCTACAAAAGCTGGAGGAAGCCCGACTCTAGACTCTTGAGTCCTGTTACAGGTGTAGTTTGGTGGTCTCCTTCCCAGAGCTGAAAAATGAGAGGGAATGTCAGTCTGTCACTCAGGACTTTGTGATGCATTAGACCTAAACATTATAGTCAACAGGTGTTTTTTGTATCAGTATTGCATTAAAAGTGATATTGGTTGGAGTAGCTGGAAGTACTGTGTTGGCAGTCCAAGGACATTTGTTTTATGCCTTACACCATTGCTTGATATGGATACCACATGATACAAAAGGAAAGCCTTCCATGCATGATAAAGATCCAAATAATAGCCTGCATTTGTTTTCTGGAAATAGATATTCTAACCCTCTGAGGATTATTAGAAAATGCTCTTTCCACTTTCATGGTCTGTTTATTGACTTGAGGTTCAACTTGGCACCGTCTCTGGGTGTGATCTCCTTAACTCTCAGAGGAAGAGCTGATTTGGCACTCCAAGGAGATGGTATCCCTGGCCTGTGTCTGTACATACAGGCTGTTCGTCGAGGTGCTGCTGAGAAGCCTTTCTTGCTATGCAGACCTGGGGGAGAACAAAATGCCTGGGTGTTTTGTTATGAGTGAGTCTCTCCTGAGCAGAAGTAGTGGCATGTTCATGCCACTGGGCCTGAAAGTGGTTCAGTCCCAAGCAGGGTCAGCGTCCAGTGGTGGAGCAGCTCCAGGCACCACCAGTGTACTGGAGAGGGCGTTTTTGTTCTCTGTAGTGCTTTGAGTGAATCAGATACTCTTACTAAATGGAGGGAGAGTTGCTTATAAGGGGAAGTTTGAGAAAGAGACTAAGTCCTGGTGGTAGAAAACGTTAGGTTTGATTCTTGGCAAATTTGTTGTTTTTCCTAAAAAATTTTTTCAAACAGGTAGTATGTTTACATGGATCTAAAATATTAATATATGGGCTTCCCAGGTGGCACTAGCGGTAAAGAACCCACTTGCCAGTGCAAGAGACATGAGACGTGGGTTTGATCCCTGGGTTGGTAAGATCCCCTGGAGGAGTAAATGGCAACCCACTCCAGTATTCTTGCCTGGAGAATCCCATGGACAGAGGAGCCTGGTGGGCTACAGTCCATGGGGTCACAAAGAGTTGGACACAATTGAAGCAGCTTAGCTAAATATTAATATAAAGCAGTACACAGTAAATAGACATTCTTGCAGATACAAATAACTCATATATAGTTATAGTTTCCCCCCCTTTTATACTGACTCATTGTATATACACTGTTCTATTCCCCTTGAAGAGAGTCCCTACATGGCTTGAGTCTTCCAATAGAGAAACAAAATAGGTTCCATAACGGTGTACTGATTCATTTTATAGAAGGTGTGGCTTGAACTGATGGGAAAAGAAATTTACTGTCTTTATTGTTGGTAAATATAAATATATTGGAATATATTGCAGTTTCCAACAGGGGTTTGTGATGATTTAAATGAACCTGGATATGCTAGATTCTATTCTGTCTCTTGGAAATTGACATTTAAAAAAACAAACAAAATTCTCAGTCCAAAACAAACTTTGAATTACCAATTACGAAAACTCATTTGTGTCAGTTAGGCCTGGAATCATTTTCAGAACACATATCCATCTATCACTCCCTCCTTTCCTTCTTTTTTTCTTTTTTTTTAAACATCTCACCCTAACACCTCTCCCGTGCCCCAAACGTTTTGCATCTTTAGTTACCATCAGTTTTTGACTATAAAGTGTTTTTTTCCCCAGCCTGGAATTGATTTTTGGAGGATTGGAGGGATTTTTTTTTCCTTTCTTTTTTTTTTTTTAGTTAAGTCTCTTGCCATCTCCAAATGCTATAGCAGTTCATTTTCCTCGTGTTTCATGAGCAGACTGTATGTCTTGCCACCATTTTTCCATGTGAACTGATGAAGTTTTTCAGGTTCTACTGTCCACTGGGAACTTGGTTCTCTAAAGTAAACTGTGGTGCTGCAGGTGGGGCTCATTTGTTTGAAGTTCATTAAGAATATGAGGACAATTGGACAGTTTGGACTTGACCTTTATAATAATGTAATTGTGACTGTTGAAATCATGCAGCACTTACACAAGTTTTTAAAAGATCCAAGTTGGTGTAAATGGGCTTTTTTTTTAATGCCTTTGAAATTCCTTTCATTTTTTTCTTCTGAAGACTGAAATGTTAGACCTTTGTCTTTAGTCTTTGCCTTCATTTGTTCCAAATCAGGTAGCAAGAGGTTCTGGGGTTCTTGAGTGACATAAGCACTAAGTTTACAGAGAGTAATGACCAACTTCAGGATAGCAACAGGCAATAAGACTAAATTAACACTCTGTTTTCTGAAATCCATTTCAGCAACTGTACCAGATCCTGACAGACTTTGATATCCGGTTTTATATGTATGAACTACTTAAAGTAAGTAACAGTCATAAACAGTGAATTTTTTCAGGATTATTCATTAAAGGAGTTTTTTGAGAGGACATAATAGAACTCAAGAAGACTATATCTTGACACCCAGAGAATTTAATGGGTTTGAGGTGGGGGTGGGTGGGTAACTTATTGAGGCCTTCATTGTGGGATCTTTACATAGAAACTTTCCAGTGGACCTGAGAAAAATGGCCAGGTTAGGGCTACGGGGGACATTATACCAGAGGTTAGAATCTCATTCTTCATAACTCTTGTTGGTTCTTGGTTTTAAATTGTTTTGTTTTTTGCTGTTTAATTAATGCTTATAGTTTTCATTACTTATCAAATCGCCCCAAATTTAGTGACTTTTAGAAAACAGTTTATTATTTGCCATAATTCACTGGATTGGATGGGTGGGTCTTTTGATCTGGGGCAAGAAGGTCCAGACTGGGGTGGCAGCTGGCATAGCTTGAGGTCTCATCCTCCAGAAAGTTGCTCTGGGCTACTTCCCGTGGTGGTCTCATCAAGTCCCAACAATAAGAGAGGGCAAACCTTGATATATGTAAGCCCTTTTCAAGCCTCAACTTTTGTTACATTTGCTAATGCCCTATTGGCCAAAGTAAGGCACGTGGCCAGACCTGGATTCGAAGGGTGAGGTAGTAGATGCCACTTTTTCGTGGGCAGAGCGTTAAGTTACATCATGTAAGGACATGCATATAAGGATGGTGGACATTTTACATCCATCCTGTTCTTGCCATTTCTCATAGTCCCTTTCTTATATGGGACCACTTATCCTGTAACCTATGTGTTTAGCCCTGGCTAATTAACCTGGACATGCAAGGAGAGGCAGTGAGTGGATTTTCTAGGAGACTAATCCCAGGACTGAAATTTTCAGGTGTTACTGATTGACAAAGGAATGATATTTTTTAGTTTGTCTAGGTAAAAACTTAAGTAAAGAATTCTAAAAAGGTTTGTAAAATGGAGTAGACTGTTTTTCTAGGGTCAGGGGTCACTAAGAATCTAATGAAAACTATGAGCCACCCCATGCATGTAAAATAACATTATATAAAGTTTTAGGATGGAATGCATGGATCTCAATTTAAGAACCTCTGGAAGAATGTAGAGGTGTCTTTAGATTAGTTCACAGCATCCCAATAACAGTAATAATACACGTCTTTGCAGGCTGGTCATTTCAGTGGCCCCCAGTGCCTGATGTCCTCTGTGCCTTCAGGAGGCAGCAGCTACACGGTGGGGGTCATACTTTCTGCTAATGAGGCAGAGAATCCCAGATGAAACTTGAAAAACATCTTTCATGCCTAATGGTCAGAAACTATCAGGTTTTTAAATTGAAATAATTCCCCCAAGGAATTTAAGAGCAGTCAGTACCTCCACAGGGAAGCCAAATAGTGAACTTGGTGAAAGAATTCATCCCCTTACTATATTTGTTCAGCTGTTGCTTTCTTCAGGTATTTTTCACACCTTAGGTATTGTGGGCCTAATTAATTTATTCCTTTGGGCAAAGACTGGGCAAAATTACAGAATCAGCACTTGCTGAGTTTTCTCAAAGACGGAAAATAGGGATAGGGAAGAAGTGTAGAAAATGTTGAAGGAGCTGAGGTGGAGGGCTGCAGAGTGATCGCTTGGTGACTCACTCAGGCTTCCTGTCAGAGCGCCTGGTTCAGGTTCAGGGAGTGTGTCCTCAGGAGCCCTGGTTCCCTACAGCACTGCCCAAGAGCCAGTGTGGAATCTTGCTGCCACTGTTGATATAAAACAAGACAGAAAATTGAAGTATTCAATTTAATTGGTACTTAAATTGAAATACTATATAGGACAGTGCTGTTATAGAAGATTTCTCTCCTTGCATAGATTATATTGTCACCTTTTCCACCATAGTTTGGTTTCATCTGTTCTTGACATTCATGTGAAAAGCATCATATACTGTATACTCTCTTGTGTCTGAGAAAAGCAAAATCTGCATATTCCTGGAATGCTGCTTGTATGGATCGTATTCTGGCTTATATATTCCTAGTACAGTGCCCATGCTGCTCCAATCCCAGTGGTCCTCAGTCAGGTTCACTTTGTCCCTCAGGATGTTTGGCAACGTCTGGAGCCATTTCTGGTTCTCACAATTGTGGGGAGAAGCCAGGGATTCAGCAAAGCAACACGAATAAATCTTAGAAACACTGTGCTGCTTAAGAGAAGATAAAGTACTTACATTGTATCACTTCATTTTATGAAGGTCCAGAAAAGGCAAGCCTGTAGCAACAGGTGGTAGAGCAGCAATTGGGAGGAGAGGGGAGGAGAGGAGGAGGTAGACAGGATTGGAGGCTTAAGGGAGCTCTTGGGATGATGAAAAAGTTCTAAAACTGGATTGTGGTCATGGTGCCACGACTTGAGGAATTTACTAAAAAACCATTGACTTGTACATTTAAAAAACTTAGCTCCATATCAATGATCTTATAGGAAGCAGTTTTCTCCCTTAGGTTCATAATCATAATTTGTAAAGACTGGCTCAGGGATTGTTTTTAAGGACAATACTAATATTAGAAGACATGTTAATCTAGAAAACTCATGGGACACTTACCTGAAAGACTAGCCGTGTTGCAGATAAGATTGGGATGTCATTCTTCATGTTCATGTGGATCCTTCATGTGTTGTTCGAACTCTTATGAGAAATGACTCCAGTGTGGTTCCTCAGTCTGGTTTTAAACACATCAAATTAAGCCGGTGATTTCTAAATCTAGGTGGCTGGTCTGTGCTTCCAGCGCCAAGTAGGAGAGGAGTGCCTGAATAAGTGTCACTATATTACCCCCTTTTAAAGAGACTTGCATAAGAGCCCTTGGTGTCCTCTCCACAGCGCCCCCTCCACCAGCGGCTAGCATAGCATGCCCAGAGAGCAAGGGTGCCTTCTGAGGCACCTGTTTTCTCTTTTACTACAGACAGTAAGACTACCTTTCGGGAGGCTGTGTTCAAATCAAGCTGTCACAGTGAGAATGTACTTGCCATTGGGGGGCACGGGTGGTTGGGGGTTTGCTTACTTTTCTCTGTGCTTTCTTATCTAATAGGCTCTGGATTACTGCCACAGCAAGGGAATCATGCACAGGGATGTGAAACCTCACAATGTCATGATAGATCACCAGCAGAAAAAGGTACCATTACAGCCAGGCAGCAACAAGCCTTTCATTGGAAGGCTCAGGGCCGACCCAAACTCTGGCCAGGACCTAGGTGGTTTCTAAAGACGCATGCTGTTTCCTTTGGCAGACTTACGATACTGTTATTTCTCCAGTCTCCACTGTTAGTTTCTACTTCCCATAAGCGTAGCACACCAGGAAAGTAGACAGCTGACCCTGACTGTCGTCGCTTGTTTACTATGGCCATGGTTTTCCTAGAGGGCCTCAGAAAGAAACTACAGCTGGTGATTTTTACTTCCTTTCTTAATGACCCTCAGACCAATCTGCCTGACCGTAAAAGTACACATGGGTCCCTCCTGTTTTTGAAACTCAGTTCTGATTGTCCCTGACTGGTGAGTAAATGAATCGACTAGTGTTAGATTAGTGAAGAGCTAGAGCAGTGCTTCACTCCTGGAGTGGGGCACGTCCCCAACCCTTTCTGTTACAACTAGAGCTTGTAATGGAAACTGTGAGTAATGAGGGATGTGTTAACACATGCAGCTGGTTATGGGGGCAGAAGACAAGCTTAAGCTTTATTGATCTAGAGAGATGATAAGCCAGGATAATTTAAATGTTAAGGAAAAACAACTAAGATTCCAACCAAGTGCTCTGCTCTAGAAATGACTTCTTAGCAGTTCCCAGAAAGTACTTGTGCCTTTTTAGCCAGTGCACTTGATAACATTTTTTATGTGGCCAAAGATTATCTAATGGGATGTGGCCTTGTTGTAAGACAGAGGCATCTGGAGACACTCCTTTCACATGTTTTATTTGTCATATTTATAGCTGCGACTGATAGACTGGGGTCTGGCGGAATTCTATCATCCCGCCCAGGAGTACAATGTCCGAGTGGCCTCCAGGTACTTCAAGGGACCAGAGCTCCTTGTGGACTATCAGGTAAAGTTGTTAATGAGGCACCACTGAGTTCTTTTTACTTTTGCTTAGGGCTTTTCCTGGTTTTTTCTTTTTCTTGGTTTTTATTTATAGTCAGTTTGGTTACATTAAAAATCCAGTCTATATTCTGCCCCAAAATGATAACATGATAATGATGGATTTGTCTCAGCTACTTTTTTTTGGCTTTGAATTTTAAATTATCTACAGAGGTCAACTAAAGATTAGAAACTCAGGTCAGAAAAATGACGTTTGTAACCCCCTTCACTGACAGGTTGTCTTTATTTCCACAGATGTATGATTATAGCTTGGATATGTGGAGTTTGGGCTGTATGTTAGCGAGCATGATCTTTCGAAAGGAACCCTTCTTTCATGGACAGGATAACTATGACCAGGTAAGCAAACCATCTGACTCCCATCCATTTGGGGGCAGATGCCAAGAAAATAGCATCTTGATAGGAATGCTGTTATTGAGCCCTAAATATCACTCAGTGTAAGCTTTTCTCCAGGGTAAAGAATTTCACAGAATCTTATCTATGGTCCCAAAGATAGAGACAGACAGTGCTGTGTTATGCCCAACTTCCAAGTTGAGTCTATGAAAAAGCTAAGTACCTCCTTGTACAAGATTCTAGTCGTTCGGTTGTGTTTTTTGTTTGCTTTTAGGCTGTGCTGGGTCGTCATTGCTGCACGTGGCCCTTCTCTGGTTACAGAGAGCCGAGGCTCCTCTGTCAGTGTGGTGCGCGGGCTTCTCATTGTGGTGGCTTCTCTGGTTGCAGAACAGCTCTAGGGCGTGTGGGCTTCCGGAGTTGCAGTTCCCAGGCTCTAGAGCACAGGCTCAGTAGTTGTGGCTCATGGGCTTAGTTGCTGCATGGCATGTGGGATATTCAGGGACCAGGGGTCGAACTCATATTCCTTGCACTGGCAGGCAGGTTCTCAACCACTGGACCACCAGGGAAACCCATAGGTATTAGGTTTTATGTCCCCATAATCATCAGTTTCTAAAAGATGATTGTCGTAAGTTGTGTTATCCTTTTAAAGGCATTTTGAAAATGTGCGTTCATGTGAACTTCATATCCGTGAGTCTGCTGCCTGTCTGCCCTGGGCTCAGATGTGTGTCTGTCCCCTGGAAGTGTAGTGATGTGGAAGCCTTCCAATGCCTGGGTCCAGCACCCCCGCGGGTTCGCTGTGAGTTCTGTGCTCAGTGACTTGGTCAGTTTGTTCTGTGTTTCAGCTCGTTCGCATTGCCAAGGTTCTGGGTACAGATGAGCTGTATGGGTATCTGAAGAAATATCACATAGACCTAGATCCGCACTTCAACGATATTCTGGGACAGTAAGTAAGAAAGAGAGAAAGAGGCTCTGAATTTATCCCATTTCAGAAGTGAAAAGGTTAGCCGAAATCACTTTCTGAAGCTCTTTACCCTTTCTAATTATATCAGAATTGAGATATTCTTTTTTTCCCCCCATATATATTTTAACTTGAGCTATTTTAGCATTGTTTACATTTGTCTTCTAATCATTTTACTCCTCTAAGAGATAACCTGTTAATAGAAAATGGAAGACAAAAATCATGCCACAGGAAAGAACTTTTTGGAATAGCGTATGCTTATTTTAATGCAAAATCTTAGAATGCTGTGGTTCTTCTTTGAATAAGAGAGTTATAGTTTTTTCTTATTCTGTATAATGGATTTTCTGTAAGAGCAAATTTTAAAGCATATTTTCAGATACAGTACAATGGTGTTGAGAAATAAATGTTGTGTTGACAATTTTCAGAGAGTAATTTTATGGAACCTCCATGTTTCTGCGGCCAGCTCTCTAAATATATCTGCTAAACAATAAAGATTACTCATAGGCCTCACCCAGAATTGACTCAAAGCCTGAGGCATAAAACATTATCTAGAAAGGTTCCACAAATTTTGCACCAAATGTAGACATTTTAATTAATTATGTATCCATCTCGGAGTACTGTTTTGTTTGAGGGTGCTGGTGGGTAGGGGTGTGACAAGTGGTACCAATGACAGTGAGGTTTAACCAGCTTGTAATCTGTGCAGTGCTCTAAGACTTTGCTGGCTTTAGCCCTAATAAGGATTTTTGTGGAATTTAATCTCCGAATACTAATGCTTTACTTTTCTTCTCAGACATTCACGGAAACGCTGGGAAAATTTTATCCATAGTGAGAACAGACACCTCGTCAGCCCTGAGGCCCTAGATCTTCTGGACAAACTTCTGCGATATGACCATCAACAGAGACTGACTGCCAAAGAGGCCATGGAGCACCCATACTTTTGTGAGTCTCTGGGGGCCTGGTTTGTCAAAGGGGAATTCTTCCACCTTCTATCTTTGAGGCCAGACAAGAGAATTCTGGGAATTTGGATTGTCCTTGGGATTTGGCCCCATTAGTTCTAGATTCTTGAAATAACTGCGATCTGTTTCTTGATGCTCACAGGTGTTTGCTTGTTCATTGCTATAGTTCCCGAGTCAGGTTTGTTTGACCATTGCCTGTGACCCCCAAGTTGATAGATCACAAGTACCTAAAATTTAGTTTTCAAATACATAAATTTGTGTGGAAACCTAATCAAAGATTTTTTTCCCCTCCAAAAAAACAAGTGATTTGTTGAAAATAATAAGGTGATCATAGCGTATTTTTAAAGAAGGAAGTTAGTTAAATAAATACAAGGAATTTGAGGAAAGGATAGCAAGTGTGAAAAGACCTCCCTCAGATCCTATCTGTATTACTGACTTCTTAGGTCTCACTTTGAAGTATGTGTGTATATTCAGTTTATGTGACTGCTTATTTATCTGCAGACATGTGGTTCTCCTTCTGATAAAGTATGTTCCAGACTTTCATTAGAGACAGTGTGAGGTCATTTAGTCCAGTCACAGAGGAGACTTGAACATAAGGGAGGTTAAGTGACCTGTCTTAGTTTTCTCTCTGAAGCAAGATTAGACCTTTCAACCTGTCTCTTGCTTGACCAGTATGCTATCTTTCCTTGATATCTTTCCTCCTCCTTTTTTCCCCCACCTCTGGAGATTAAGTAAATCTTGCCCAAAGAATTCATGCTCTCTGGTTGTGAGCCTGCTTGCCCATGAACTGTAGTCGAAAGCAGATTTTAAAAAATCTTACCCTTCATTCTTCAAGTGCAACTGGATGTCATCTCTCCAGGTTCCATCACAGAAAGCTATTTTTACCCTCTGAGTTTGATTGGATTAAGAACACTGATGTTTATATTATACAAATCATGATTTGTCTGCTTTTCCAAATACATGGTATACTTTCAAAAAATTTTTTTATTGCTTAAAATCCATAGATCTTCTAATGGTTCCTTTTATTCACCCTCTTCATCCTCTGAAGTGTTTGTGTTTATCACACATACTTTGAAGAGATTAGGAGTTGGATATGTCATTAGTATTCATGGAAAATAAGACATAAGAAAATTAGTAGAAATTCTGAACCGTGGACAGTGGGTGTTTCTGTGCCTCTCTTTCCCCTAAATCTCAGCAGTCGCACTTGTACTCTGCAGAGGTATGAGCTGACTGTGAGAGCGTTTCCCATTCATTTCTCAGCATTTGTAATTTTTGTCGCCCTCTCAACCCTGGCTTCCTGTGTTTTTGTCTCACTGAGGAAGGCTGGGTCTGTCATGGTGTCTGCCTGGGACCCCTAACACGGCTGGCCCTACCTCTGCTGAGTGTCCTCCTGTTTCCTTGCAGACCCCGTGGTGAAGGAGCAGTCCCAGCCTTGTGCAGATAACGCTGTACTTTCCAGTGGTCTCACGGCGGCCCGATGAAGACTGGAAAGCGACGGGTAATGCGGCATTGATGCTTGCCAATAAAACCAACCAACCAAACACAAACCTTGAAGGAAAACTACAGTGTGATAAAAAGAAATTCTAGCCATTCCTTCTAAACGCAAAGAAGAGTAAAGACCTAAAAGTCTGTCAAAAAGAAACTCCCCAGCACTAGTCTACAGGGAGCTGCCGTTGGGCAGCCTGACGATGCACATAGTTGAGAATCTGAGGGGGACTCTCCCTTTGGAATGCATGGGAGATGAGAGACTCGGAGTTGTTGTACATTTCCTTTGTTTAACAGGAGACCACTGTTGAATTAACCTGTTGAAGTCAACAAGCTCTGAATATCTGACTTCCTATCTATTCCACTGCGGTCTGGGTTTCCTTTGGTGAGATTCAGGCTCAAGTTTTAGCAGAATGTCAGCAGTCTGAACTGACACACCAGCCTCATTTATGAAAAGGAGATACTAAAACAGTGACAGTATTTTTTTTTTCTAAACTCTTTTACAGATTCATGTTTTATGTACTTTTTTCTTTTTCTTTTTTTTAACGACATGAGCTCTCTGGGAAATGTACCTCATCCCTGCTGTTTTCTTCTAAGTGTATTCATTTGGGAGCAAACTGCAGTCACTCTCACCAGAGTCCCATTTGATGTCAGGAGGCATCACTTTAAACCTTGTGATGCCTTGGACAGGTCCATCTGTTCCATCAAAAGTTGAATGCTAAGTTGCATAACTTGGAGCTTACTGTAACCTTCGTTGATTTGCCTAACCTTAAAATCTTGTTGCTATTTTTTTCATGTAGCTTTTTTTCTTTTTCCAGTCTTTTAAAGAAAACTTCATTTCCCAGCACATCCCTGTATGTGCACCTATTTTAATGCACATCTCTGAAACAAAGATTTTTTGTTCACAACCATGACTAAAGCTGGAAAGTCAGTCTTCAGGGAGAGAGGATAAAAACATCCTGTTAGAATTTATTCAGGAAAGACAAATTGGGTGGCGGGGGAGGGAAAGTCCTCCTTTCCTACCCTTTACCCCTTTTTATCCCCATGAGAAACAGTTTCCCTCTGTAATCAGGGTAATCTGCATTTTTGAGCTCTGATAGGTATACATGAATGTGTTGGCAAAGAAGAGTCTTTCTCACGTGCAGAGGCTGGCATTATGTGGGCAGGGCCACCCATAACCCAAGCGACCAGAGAGAGTAACATACAAGGGACTTGGGGAAGGTAGTGGAGTTGCTGGGACAAGTGTCAAAGATTGGCATCCATTGTGCTAGCCTTCATGTTAAGCAGAGGAAGCTGTATTTTGTTTAAGAAGACTTAAAAAATGGGGGCTGATGTCACTCTGGGGACCTGTCATCAACATGGTTTGCACGCAGCCCCCTGACCCCAGCTGCAGAGCCATGCCACAGCTGTGGGGACCTCTCCCACTGGGCTAGAGCTCAAGGTGTCAACCACCACATCACACTTTAGGGTTTCTTTATTAACTATTTAATAATGCCATACATTTTTATAAGGTTAGATTGTTTGTTTGAAAGCATCTGTTTACATTCCATATTCCAATAAAATTGTATTGGTATTGGTAGCAGGTCCTATCTCTAAATGTAGATTCTATTTTTGTCATTTGGTCAGTGGGAACTTAAAATACAAATAAAACAAGGTCCCAAAGCCAGGAAATGCATTCAGTTAAGGTTCTCATACCAGTGCTTCCTACTTTCATTGCACGTCCTGTATATTAATGTATACATTTGTTCTACCTGGAAATCAGAAACAAGACAGCACTTCTTGGCTGAACCTATATTGATACGGTAGGCAGCAAAACTCAAGTGTTTCAGACTGTCAGACACCTTCTGACATGCCCTTCTAGGCAACACCGAACTGTTGGTTATTATTTATTAGGGAGATGTGCCACTGTGTGTCTTTCCTGCCCTACCCATCTCCTCTTTTGTCACCCGTTCCCTTCCCCCACCCTTCTTTTTTTTCTTCAAGTCACCTGTCTGGACCAGGCAGGGAGAGCCTGCTGGAGAGTCTTAATGAAGTAGTAACCCTGCTTCTCTCTCTTGAGTCCCCCAGAGGCAATAAAAGCATCGGGAGCAGGGTCAGGTGACAGACTTCTGCCTCTCTCTCCTCTGGTCATGATGTGGTATGTGCAAACAGAGCTCACCTGCCTGTCCTCAGGTTCTATGGCTGCAGCTTGGCAAAGGAGTAATTTTTCCATTTTATGCATACAGTTTACTTTTCGCCACCACTACTTTTTACCTCTGTTCATGCCTTAGACATAAAGCATAACTGAGTTTAAAATGCGCACTCCTTTCCAAGGCTGGTCTTGACACCCAACTTGTGGCTGGCTGGCTATGACTGGTTCTTTCCCAAACTGAACTGAGTCTAGTCCAGACCTTTCCTCTTTTCCTAGCTCCAAAACCATTTTGTGTGCAGATGGACCTAGCTCCCCTGAGATTTTAGAGTCTTTTCCTGGGTTAGGAAGCAGTCTTGGAAAATTCAAAAGACTGATGAGAGAGTGTGTGTGTGTGAGTCTAGTCTTATATCTAGACAAAGCTATGGTAGATTCACCAACCCAGTATCCTTTCCGGTTAGCATATTATTTCTTAAATTCATCTCATTAATTTTCATTAGACATTTTGTTCGCTTCATTACCTTATAACAGGTTAAAAGTGCCTAAGATAAGGATTTACTGTTTCCTAAAGAAAAGCAAAAATAATGTGGGGAACAGGGTAGTGTTACACTGTCATCTCAGGTACAGCCTATGTTCAAGAACATAGACCTGGCGTGGCGAGAACAGAAGGTTCCTGTGCCAAATACAGATGGGGGTATCAGAGGTTGTTGGCCACAAGTGGGTCTGACTGCAAGGTTTTGCTTCAGCTGAGAAACCCCATGGTGGGAGCAGAACTGATGAAGTGCTGAGATTTTCATCAGGTTTGCTTGCAGTTCACTCTCCCCAGGACCCTATCAGTTGGCCCACACCTATCCTGTTCTAGCCAGTGGTGGGTGACTGGGCAGGAGAAGTATACAAGGAGTGTATAATGCAGACCACGCATTCCCAGTTCTTCTTGGCACTCAGAGGGGTGTCAGTGCCAGTTCCATGAGGCGTGCAAACATTGGTCCCTCTGCTGGGTCCCCTCACAGGCATTATCCAGCATACCAGTACTCGTGAGGCTCAAAGCATGTGTATTCCCTTGCAGAGAAGGAAGGTACTCTCCATCTGATTGATTAGAGGAGACAGAAGAGTTTGTAATCCTTGGGGCAGGGAGAGAGGACAGGAGAGGGGATTGTTTAAAGAAGACAGGGAATCAGTTTAAAAAACAAAAACAGTGCAAAGGTAGATCTTGAGAGGAAGGAACATGACTTTTGAGGGGTGAAAGCAAGGCGGGGCACAGAGTTCAAGTTCTGGAACACGCCCTGAGATGGGCATTCCCCAAGGGTTGGTTCCAGCGGGACCGCACGGTGGTGCTCTCGAGGCAGGTGCTGAGTCCCAGAGAGAGCCCGCGGCCGTGGGCCTCAGCCCGCGCCTACTCAGGGAAATGACTTAGCTTCTCCCAGGTGCTGCTGTGATGAGGATGGAAGCAAAATCATTTTGGGACACAAACAATTGGAAGAATTTTTATATATGCATTGAAATGGATCTGAGAGAGCCCCGTCGACAGTCTCCTTTAATGCCAGTTCAGATTAATGATTCATCTAGGAACCTGTGTTACTGCACAAGCATACACAGGAGAAAGCAACCTGCCCTCCTGCACGTGAATAGGAGTGGACAGTAACTGATCAGAGCCAAGGCCATTGAGATGTAAACCCAAAAGCAAAAGCAGGGTCCATATGAGCAGACAAGAAACCAGAATTTGTCAGTGAGCTTAATAAATCTAAGACTGAGTGACTCTTGCCATTAAAAAGTAACCCCAGGGTGGGGGTGAGGGGAGGGTAGGTGGCGAGGAAACATCTGGCTCAAAACCAGTAATAAATGCTTTGGAGCTATATGGATGTGTCAATGGAAATAACCCCAACCAGGTATTATAGAGGCTGGGGGACGCGATGGAATGGGATTATACAGGTGATGCATACTTTTATGTAGAGACTCAACAATGTGCTGCAAATGTGATACTTAATCCTGAACTGCATGTATTGGGGATTGGTTTTTTTTTTTTTTTTTTAAGTTCACTGAATCAATAAATTAACAGTTTTTCACTTGCTGGCTTTTCTTGCTGTAAATGGTGACTAAGAGGTTGGAACAGAAATCTTGACACCCAGTGGAAAGCTTGAATAAACCTTCCAGAACCACGGAGCCGGCTGTCTCCTTCTGTTTGCAGAAAAGCAACACTGCCTGGGTTGTGATCCTTTACTAAAGAGTACTTTAGTACACAGTTGACTACCACTTTGTATCACTAGATGACTGATGTATAATTTCTATGCTGCTGCCCTTTAGAGGAAAGAAAAACATCATGTGAAATCCTGTTTTCATAAATAAAAATGTTGACAATCACCAGCCTTGCCAAGTGGGACACAAGCCACTGCCACACAAGGACCTTAAACTTGTATTTCCTGTCTCTTGGGGGAAAGGAGGAATAATCCTGGAATTGAGAAGATGTGTGGGTGGGCAGTTGCAGTTAATCACCTAGGTGTGAAGACTCCTTTAGCAGAAGTGGTGGAACTAGGGTGGTACGGGGACAGTCCTATTTCTTGGTACTTGCTCCTGAATTCAGGTACAGCTCAGAACCTGCTGCTTGAGGTTGACTGTTTCCCTGTACAACTTTAACCTTTGTGGCAGTTTTCTGCATTTATGTAAGGAAACCTCTCCCCAGCCCCATTCCTTGCAACGTAGGTGGGCACGTGCTGTTGTGTGGCCAATGGAGACTTTTGTTAGTGCCCTTGTTCTCACTGCTCCCTTGGTGGAACTGGACACTTGAAAATCATTTGCTGAAGAGTCATTTCTTTCTTAGCCTTATACACCAGGCAGCCTTTCTCAAACACTAAGCAGGTGAACCCTTCCTGT